CAATAAGAAACAAGTACGATTACGTGTTAAAGATGAAAGTACAAATTGAACTTACAATAACAAGAACTCAAGAAGAAACATATATTGAATCTTTTATAAAAATATTATCTAAGCTTGTGTGAATACAAATTCCGACATTTAACTTGAAAAATATAACATTCTTTATTTAACTAAAAAATGAGAAAAAGAAAGACACAAGCAGATAAAAATTTAAACAGAACAAACACAAATTAAAAAATTTATTCATTCGCGTTTTTTTTTTTTTTTTGCATGGCAAAGACCCAAGCAGATAAACGCTTCGGGAAAGGTTGGCATGCAGCTTGAAGTTTCCCCGCCGGTTTATCTTGATGGATTCGGCAGTAATCTTTCTGGATTTGATAGTGTTCACTTAAACCAAATGTGCCATCAGAACGCAAACATAGTTAGCAACTCCGCACCTCTCCTCATTTGTTGACCATGCTCTTTCCATCCACAATGAGCCGCAGCATATGCCAATAATTCGACCCACAGTTTATTCACTATGTCCCATTTTGCTTCGAATTCCAAAGCTTGCAATTGCTGTGCAAGTAGGCTGCCATAGAAGAGGACGGATTTCGTCGCATCTCCTTTAAGTTCTTCTAACGAATCAGTTTCAACACCGTAGAACTCGTAGCAAGCTTCGTCTACCTTGGCTCGGATTGTCCCTCTCCTTTGTTGAAAAAATCTGACGGCTTCAGCATATGTGTCTTTGTATCTTATCTCGCCAATCCTTTGGGTAGCTTATTTGGATGCATGACAAGAAGATACATCATGTAATCTGATAACCCTTTGCTGATTTTGGTGCACTTGTCGATATTTCCAAGAGAATTGGATTCTTTAAGCCTCTTGGCATCATCATGGTAAATAAGTTGAATAGCAATGTGCCAAATAAGAAGGTTGTGATCGAAATCTACCTCGATTGTGCTCCATTTAAGAAGCTCGAGACTGAACATGTTTAGAAATTTGATCCACATGGTGTCCCCGTCCTGTTTTCTTAGGCAAAACTTGATCAAGTTGAACTTCGAAATCATTCTCGACCATCTCTTGCCAATTCTCACGTGTTACTTCTGCATAACGCAGTAGCCATAGCTTTGTCCAGTCAGACCGCATAAGAACGACGAAACCGTAAACCTCGAGAACAACCGCTCCGATCAGTAGCAAGTACGTGACCGAAATGTCGGTTAGTGTAATCAGCGAATCTCATGAATAAAACCAATTAAACGATGGATGTAAAAAGGATGAAAACCCGGTGCCTGTAGCCCTCGATTTTATAGTGGAAATGTGCTAGTTTGGTGTAGAACGCACCATACAAAAGCCCGAGCTCACTGTTAGGATTCAAATCTGATTTGAATTTGCATGTGGCAAAAATATTTTGGAAATTAACTTCATGTTGGCAAAGAATTACATGGATATTGAAGTGGCCACTTGAATGGACAGCAAAAACAACATTTGGCAATTGAAGATAAAATGATGTGGAACACAAGAAGAATCTTAAATGGCTATGTATTAAACTACAAAGTAAATGGCGGTTGCAACAAAGAATTAAGAGAGGCAAATTTTCAAGTTGAAAAGTCAAAGTTGATGATTATTATGAAGCAAAAATAGTGGTAAAGCTTGAAAAGGATGAGTATGACAACAACAAAATTTCCCTATGGCAAGGAACAATGGAGTCGGTTACTAATGTTTATATATAGGCTTGTATGGTTGATGTATGGATCATTTATACGAGTGTAAGCAAAAACGTGAGAGAGATTGAGATAGCTTAGCAAAGTTTTTGAATAGTGGGATTGTGTTTGTAAGCTCGCCACAGTTAGTGTTTGTATTATATTTGTATTTTGGTTTGTATTAATAATAGTGTGTTATAAAAATTACTGAGTGCCTACTTACGCTTCCAACAAGTGGTATCTAGAGCTTGGTTCGAGTTTAAGCAGCGGTAAAGATGACCAACATGATTCAACCACAAATCCCGAGATTGACAAAGAAAAACTATGGCAATTGGAGTATTTAAATGAAGGCGTTACTAAGCCTCCAAGATTATTGGGATGTCATCAAGGAAGGTTACGTCGAACTCGAAAATGCAGCAGCAGAAATAACCCTGACCAATGAAGAAAAGAGGGTATTGAAGGAATCCCGCTAAAAAGACAAAAAGGCGTTATTATTTTATTTTTCAAGGAGTAGACGAATCTACTTTTGAAAAAACTTTCGATGAGAAGACCGCAAAGCAAGCAAAAAAATGTACGTTTACAATCTCTTAGAGTTGAGTTTGAAATGTTAAAAATGAAAATATGGAAAATATTGATGATTACATTAGCCATGTAAAAGCGATAGTTAATGAAATGAAAAGAAATGGTGAATCACTCGACGAGGTCAGAGTGATAGAAAAGATTTTGCGATTGTTGACACAAAAATTCGATTACGTGGTCGTGGAAATCGAAAAATCAAAAGATTTATCTCAAATATCGATCGATAAGCTTGTGGGTTCACTTCAAGTCCATGAGAAAAAGATGAAACAAAATGAAGATTCTGAAAATTTAGAGCAAACTTTGCAAATCAATATGAATGTCAACGAAGGTGATGCCAGTAGCAATTACACACGAGGTCGAGGAAACTGTGGTGGTTATTGTGGAAGAAATAGAGGTGGACGAGGAACACAAGGACTTGGTGGTCGATCTAATGCACCACCCAAACAAGTGAAAATTACCAAACATCAGAACGTGGTCGAGAATTTAGGGGCCGAGGTCGAGGCAAATATCAACAAGGAAATAAATCACAGATACATTGTTATAATTGCAAAAAGTATGGTCACTATACGTAAAATTATTAGAATATAAGAGTTAATTATATCATATATCCTCAAATTATGACCTATATTTTAAATTGGTTCTTAAAATTTTGAATATTCTAATTTTATTTGCAAACCATGACTACAATTCTAAATTAGTCATCAAACATTTAAGCATCTTAGTTTCATCCCTAAACTGTGACCCTCATTATAAATTGGTTCTCTAAACTTTCGAATCCTCCAATTTCATCCAAATATGTAATTAGTTTCAACCATAGTTTAACCTAAATATTATTTTTTAAAACATATAATAATATAGCTTGGCCCAATGATTTTATTAACAATATGGATGCGATTACCATATACCTATAGTGTGAGATGAAATTGAAATGTTTTAAAGTTTGGGGATCAATTTAAAATAAAGATCATAATTTAGGGAAGAAATTGAAATGTTCAAAAGTTTGAGGATTAATGTAGGAGTCATAGTTGGAGGATGAAATTGAAATATTCAAAAGTTTAGAAGCCAAACTAGAATGAAAGTCATACTTTGAGGATATGTTATATAGTTAACTCTAAAAATAATAGGATTTTATCACTAAACCATATGTTCAGTTCTATTTTAATCACTAAATAAAAAATTTGTTAATTAAGGTACTAATGTTACATAATTTGTTCAATCAAGTCACCGTCAATTAATTAATTAATGCAATTATTGATATGATAGTTTTAAAATTCGTATAATTACTTATTTAATCCACATTTTCTATACATTTTTATCATTTTTTGATTAATGACCAAATTACACAAGTATATAAAGTGAAATAAAGTAAAGTAAATTATAAAAAAAATAACCAATTATTGAGGGAAAATAAACATAACCTTTGAAAGTGTTTCGAAAATTTCTATCTTACCCATGTATGGTCATTAGACACAACAAATTAACAAGCCCATGAAGTAGCAGTAATTTTTTCCTTTTAAACCCTTTAAATATCATCTTATTTTCATCTTTATGCTGCACCAGCCAAAATTTATTTATTTTAGTTTAGTCTTTGAAAAAAATAGAAAGATGGCAAATATGGGTTTAGCTGTATTCTCATTGGCCTTGGTGCTCTCAATTCAGTTCGTGATAGGACACGAAAATTTCGCTATAAGTGAATTAACCTTTATAGAAGGCACTATCAGAATGCAAAAGATACATAACATATTTAAGCACCGAAGATATAAAGAACACGGGCAAAGATATCCAAGAAGCCTTGGAAAAAGTTATAGGAAACAACAAGGTTGTTAATGTAGCACTTTCGCCGGAACAAGAAGAAAAATTTGTCGAAGCCACCTCGTTCCTCACCTCGGAGACAATAGTGGGTGTCGGATTAATAGAGCCAGAAGTCGTGGAGGAAATAGAATCATCCCCTGAGGTTTTGCCAGAGGTTGCTGAAGTCCTTCAAGAGACTAAAAGCACGACTATATAAAAAGTTGAATTCGTTGAGAAATTAGCGAGTATCATATGAGCTTCCAATTAGATTCTTCACATCCCAGTTTATCTCAACCAACTTGTCATAAATAGTCCCCACATCTAAACAATGCTTATAACCTCGTCGTCACTTGTAATAATCATCTCTTTCAATGACATCAAGAGACTTTATATTCATAATACAAAGGAGGAGGAGAAAACATAAGAGTTTCATCTTCTACTGGACAATCACATCAACTAAATCTTTTATACTCGAGCCAACATCTATATCATTAGGAAGTAAAGATAAGTTGTACAATGATCTTAAAGTAACACCCCAAACATCATTTCATAACCGAATGCTCAAATACGTTAATGATCAAACGATAACCTATCTAGTGGTCTTAGTGAAAATAGAAAAGAATTTTGTTTTCTTTAGAGATCCTGAGTTCGAGCAGCTATGTCTACATGATGTTTTTGCTTTTCAATTGGTTAAAAAAGTTCTGAACAAATACTACCTTGTAATCACCTCACTATCAGTTTACAGATGGAATCTCAATTAAGCGAAATCTTTTTTTTCCACTTGAAGTCATATTCCAAATGAACTTCCAAATCAATTTACCAAACAACATATTTTATAATAAACACGTAATTTTTAGTAAACACCAAACAAATTTTATAATTTAAATTCATATCAAACACAAATATTCATATCCAAATATGCGTAGAATATCGAACACAAATACTCATATAACCAACATATTCTGCTACAGATCATAGGGAGTAAAAAAAGTAAAGACTTTACAATTTATAGACATTCCAATTTTCTTTGACGTTTAATTTGACTTCAACTGCAGGCAATATTCCATTAAAGTTCCAATAAGATATTTATGTACTTACTGGTGCTGGTTTGAATTTTCTGTTGCTATACACCCTCCAAAACAGTAGCTTCGCGAGCTACTGAAACTTCCTGCAAAGTAAACATATTGTTATAGCAAGCATGATATGGCACGTCCAGTTTGTGTCAAAATCCTATTTAATATATCATATTTTCATGTCATATTTGCGCCCGTTCTTTTGCATTGTGTTTGCATGTTGTGTCTAGTAACGAGAATGGAAAAGGAAGCCCTGAGCTTCAGTATCGTGTTAAACATCCAACCTAAAACCAATCGTTACCGAGTGATGTGGCTTGGCTTTAAAATAAGTTCACAGGCAATCCTGTATGCTCAACCCAGTATAAAACAACAAACAACCTAGATTTCAACTGATACGAGATGACACCACTTTAACCTATGTTTCTTGGACTCTTCATTTTTCATTAAGTACCCATGTCCAACACTCGTATCCAAAACATGAATATGGGGATATAACCTTCAAAATCCTCCAAATATATAGAAAAACTTAAAAAGAATCTAGCCAGATACATATCCATGTCTAACAGTTGCACCCGAGTAACATATTCTAACTGTTACACCCACGTCAGAGTAACATAGCTTTTTGTAGTTAAATCAGAAAGTTGAATCCGATAAATATCTCTTGTTCTATACATCTATATCCATATCTATATAAGTATAAGTTGTAAATAAGTTTACCTTCAACTTTCCCTCACTTGAGAAGCAGCATCTTGATGTAATAGCTTTTCCTTGATCATAAAGCCACCCAACCTCACTGCAGGTTTCACCTCCACTTTCTTTTAGAGAACACCATAATTGTTTGGGAAGCAATATGAGATTGTTTTCATCCCTTATTGACTTCATAACTCTATTTTCTTTGAGCTCTTGAAGAAAGTTCTGAAGTTTTTACAAACAATTCACGATAAAACAATGATCAGGTTATATACAAAAACCTGCCCATCAAAATAATGCGTAAGTTATGTTATTCCAACTCTTCATTTTTCTGGAAAAATATTCGTATCGGACGCATATCCAAACATGATTGTAGAATGTAGAAATACAATATGACTCTTCAGAGACACTCTAAATACAAGAGGGGAAAATAAGTTGAACACAATGGTGTCGGGCACATACCCGAATCCCGACACTCATTCTCGAGTCCATGCAAAATAGCCCATAGGTATACACAACTAACTTCTGTTGGTTACGGATGTTTATTGGATCAGCTATGTTTCTTAGAAAATCACCTATTTAGTATTCACACATCATCACTTAATTATTTACTGTGTTACTCGGATTCGGATGTTAGTGTCGGATATGAGTATGTATTCGACACGGGTATGGTCAGGCTTTTCTCCATATCTGTGTTTCAGATACGAGTATTGGACATGGGTATTCCAAGAAAAAAGAAGAGTCCAAGCAACGTATGTTTTTTTTAGATTAGAGAGGGAGAATACTGAGCTATGTTGCTCCGGCTCTTCGTTTTTCTTGAACCGTGTTTAACACCCACATCCAATGGTTTTGATCCTCCAAGGGCTCTATAAACACATGAAAATCTTTTAAACATACACGCATCCGGTGCTTACATCAAACAAACATAATGATAAAAACTAAGGATGTTAAAGAAGAGTTCGGAGCTACAAAAATGCTTAGCAAGTGAAGGAAAAGTTTGCACTCACATCCCCAGAACTACCAACACTGGCAACAGCATTTGGCCCCTGCCATACACCAGCAACATCAGAGGCTCTTGTAGCAGCTGTCGAGGCAAATGCAGAATCACGAATAGCGCATCCACCTAGCTGATCACCATTCCTAAATGGACCATACCATTGTTCGCAAAAGACCCTAACACTCCCTAACACAAACTTCGTACCATCGACCCGAACAACCTGAATTATCCTCATACGAGACTCCCTGTCCCGAGGATTGATCAAGCAGTGCTCCAACTCCAACAGACCATTATCTGAAACTGGCCAGACAGCAGTGTAAGATCCACTAGAATGATATGCAAAGGCTGAAACTTCATTGTCTACGCCCCCAATGTTCCTCTCGTCAATGCTATACCGTGTTGCAGCATCAGCTTCACATCCGACAGTTGGAAGTAATTTTATGTTTTTGTAAGTCATGACGTTCTCCCCTGGTTCAGCAAGGGTAGGACACTGAGTTTGCCAATCATAAACCTTAACTTCCCATTCCCTGTAAGCTTCGGGTACTACAGATTCGGGAAGTTCAATTGGATTCCCTTCAACAGAGAAATCAGCTCCAAATCCATCCCACTCACCAGACACATTCCCAGCAAATTCTGACCAAGCTTCACAAATAAAAGAACAAGATCAAAATTTTGCATCATAACACTAATTCACTAACATTACCTTCATTGAATCTTCAAACCTATGTTGCTCGGACTTTCATTTTTTTTCTTTCTTTTCGAAGCACCTGTGTCCTGCACTTAGGTCATATGCATATATGGACACAAATACTGGATATAACCCTCTAAGAATTTTGTTGAGAACCTCTACTACTTTCAAATACATTATTCATCATCATTCATGTAAGACATTTTTCCCAACAGAATCGTGTAGGACACTATACCCAACACTTATACTCTATGTTACTCGGACTCAAGTGTAAGTGTCCGAGACTTGGACACTGGTAATTAAAGAAAAATGAAGAGTCCTAGCAACATAGCTTATTCCAGAATTCGAATAAAATAGCTTCCGATTAATTTCTAGAAAAAGTTATTAAAATTATAACTTGTTCAATAGCAAAAGGGAAAGAAAGCAAAGTCTATGCACCGGATTTGATTTTCATGGCGTTATACATTAAATCAAGCAGAAAAAGAATCAAAGCAAGAATGAAAAACAAGTGAACCTCAACTTACTACTGTCTGCAGCATCTGCTGTGAGATTGGAGTTCTGAAGCTGAACATCAGAAACAGCAGCCTTTGCTAAGCAAGATGGGGTGAAAATTCTACCATTTTTGCACTGATGAACATTTTGGTTCTCCGAAAACGACTGGAGATCGAGTCTCGAATGAAGTTGCTGATGATTAAACGCCAAATTCACGTGCTTTGGCAACGGGAAAGATAAGCAATTAACGGCTCTGTTGTGAGATATTACAGTGCTAGCTGCTGATACTGCCATTTTGGAACCTTTGATGATCCTTGTAGAACCCTTTTTTTATTTGCCTTATCTTGAGCTTGGTCTCAGAACATCAATGGCTTCCAAGTTCAAAGGATTAAAAGAAACCACAGCCATTGCAATTAATATGTAGTGGGGCATGGGCCTAGAGGTTGCTTTGGAGATAGCTTTGAGCGGCCATTTTTTTTTCTTTCCCATAATATTATCCCGATAGTAAAACAGACCAGCCCATCCTCTCTTTTAATTTTGGTTTAATATTAAATTCAACCCCCAAACTATATCTATTTTCTCATTTTGATACCTCAACGTTTTTTACTCACTTTGATACTCAATTATGTCATGAACGGATATAGGAGGGACTTTGATAATACTTAAAAGGTGATTTTAAATTACTTACGTCTATTTTTTTTTACTTAAAAATTAAAAGAAAAAAAAAACAAGAATATAACATATAGAAAATAAAATAAAAATATATCACATATTACGGATTGATTGAATAATTAATTTAAACATACATAACAAACAAAACCAAAAAGAAAACAAAATACTTACTTTAATAAAAAAAACCAAATGTCTAAAATAAAAATATGATTTAATTCAAATAGTTATTTTTTTAAATAAATCTTATTTAAATAACTCACAAGTATAATAAATTTTTTTACTATTATTCTTATAATTAAGAATTTTCTGAATAAACTTTTTACTATTAAATTTAAAGCCTAAAACTTAAGCAAGGGAATCGTTGACGGTAAGTATAGTGAATAGGTGGACGGTCATGCTCAATTGCTCATGGATTCATGGTGTACATATATTTTTCTTTCAAATGAAAAAACATTAGATCAAATTCTTCTATTAGTCCCTATACCATGTGTAATTTATTGATTTAATTTCTATAATCTGATTTGATGGTTTATGTACTTCTCAAAATATGAATTTTTATCTTAAACAAAAAATAGTAATAAGTCTTATAATTTATCATATTATTTATGTATCAGTAGATTCGGTCTGAAAATTCATATTTTAAAATTATAAACTATTAAATTGAGCAAATTAAACTATAGAGACTAAATTTATACATTTTGTAATAATATAGGGACTAATAATATAATTTTACCAAATTGTAATTCATCCGCTTACTTCATCGTAGCCGTTCATCTCTTCGAAAGAGACTTAAACCAACGGCTGAAACTGTAAGCCTGTAAATGTCGGCCTAATTATACATATCAGTCTCCTATCCCCTCCTATCCCGGTATCTTCAACTCCATTTTGTCGTTTCAAAAATGGCGGCACTCGTTGCTGGGACGCCATGGATGAGAATCAGAGTAATTCCTGAACTCGCTCCTCCGCTTATTTTCCGGCGCCATTTCCGTAGAAATTTCTCCGTACGCGCTTCAGTTGACAGCAATGCACCGGTCAGAGTCCGTTTTGCTCCTTCTCCGACCGGCAATCTCCACGTCGGCGGCGCTCGAACTGCTCTCTTCAACTACTTATTCGCTAGGTTTTCTCTCTCTTTTTTTACATCTTGTACGTTGTTTTCCTGTTTCGAACTTTGTCGAATTTTGATGATTTTCTCTTTTCTGCTCTTTTTTTTCTTTAGATCGAAGGGAGGAAAATTTGTGCTGAGAATCGAGGATACTGATTTGGAGAGGTCGACGCGAGAATCGGAGGAGGCTGTGCTTCGAGATTTAGCTTGGCTTGGTCTTGATTGGGATGAAGGTTCTGTTTATATGCCGTTATCATTGTCTTTCTGTTTTAGTTAATTTGGTTTGAAATTTATTACATCAGTTTTACATGTACGGTTCCATTGTGTTGTCACTTTTAGCATTAATTGATCTTGATTCTATCACTTGCCGTGTAGGCCCTGGCGTTGGCGGGGACTATGGTCCTTATCGACAATCCGAGAGAAATTCTATGTATAAACAATATGCTGAGAAGCTCTTAGAATCCGGTCAGGTTTATCGTTGCTTTTGTTCCAATGAGGTAATTGATTTCAAGACGTTTCAAATGTGGGATATTTGTACTTTTGAATTACAATTTGTGTCCTTGGTTTCGTCCGAATGCCTCTAGGAATTGGGAGAACACTATTCCCTTGGAGACAGAAGTGTAAATTTTGTGTCTCACAGAACATAACTTTTAATTCAAGTGAAGTATGCCGAAGTATGCTCAGATTTTAACATTTGACTAATAAGATCTTAATTCTATAGGAACTTGAGAAAATGAAGGAAATTGCAGAGCTAAAGAAACTTCCTCCGGTATACTCGGGGAAGTGGGCCACTGCAACAGATGAAAAAGTACAAGAAGAGCTATCAAAGGGAACCCCATATACATATCGATTTCGTGTTCCAAAGGAAGGGAGCTTGAAAATCAATGACCTTATCCGAGGCAAAGTAAGTTCAATTGATTGAACAATTTATCCCCTAATAGCCTTGTGATCAGCAAATTGCAATTTTTTGTCTATTGATTTGAGGATTTTTTGTGTAAAGCGTCATTATCTTTAAGTTTCAGTGGTCCCTCAACAACAGAATGTAGATAACTGTAATTTACTTTTGTAGGCACTAATTTGTTTGATAGTATCATGAAGGTTAGCTGGAAATTGGACACACTTGGGGATTTTGTTATAATGAGGAGCAATGGTCAACCTGTTTACAACTTTTGTGTTACTGTTGATGATGCTACCATGGCTATTTCACATGTTATACGGTAATTGAGAGTATAATTGTTTATCTTTTTGCTACATCTAATATACGTTTTGTTTGTACATTTTTGGTCCTTTGTTCTCACACTATACATTTCAGAGCAGAAGAGCATTTACCTAATACTCTAAGACAAGCCTTAATATACAAGGTAATGTTAAAAGGCTTCAATTATTTATTTACTTTTTTTAATATTTAGTGGCTTTTAGAGTTTCTGGTTTCTTTTCACCAATATAAGGAAGCTAATCTTTGAATTGGAAAAAAAAAATTGCTACAGGCCCTGGGATTCCCCATGCCTTCCTTTGCCCATGTTTCTTTGATTCTTGCACCTGATAGGAGCAAATTGTCAAAACGCCATGGTGCAACTTCAGTTGGTCAGGTAGTTATCTTCATTCTACTTTGTTTCATGGAAAATGTTGCAAAATAATTGTATTATCTCCTTGGTTTACATGGGGTCTACAGTATCTTTTCAATTGAGGATTAAAAGTTTCCATGTTAACAATAATGCTGTTCCAGTATAGAGATATGGGGTATCTGCCTCAGGCAATGGTGAATTACTTGGCACTTCTAGGTTGGGGTGATGGAACGGAAAATGAATTTTTCACCATTGATCAACTTGGTTAGTTTTCCCTTTGACTTGATTTGATCCATGTGCCTCTCTATTTCTAAGCCCTAACCAGCCTGCTATTCCTCCTCCCCTCTGTGAAAAAGAGTGTAAGAAATAGAATGAGGAAAGTGAAATTATTATCCAGCTTTGACAGAATATTTGGATGATTTCAATTTGACTAATTGTCAATTCAATCTTGTTTTCATGCAATTCACAGTTGAAAAATTCTCGATTGGTCGTGTAAACAAAAGTGGTGCTGTTTTTGACTCTACCAAATTAAGGTGACTTTTCTATGCTTTGATACTGTAGGCATTATGGTTATATTTGTCTTGTACCACTGATATGCATTGGTCTTGTAATTTGAGGAAGGGACATCGGCACCTATTATTTTTTTGATAGGTTTGGTGGTTTTTAGTAGGGGCGAGCAACAGAACTGAATAAACCGAAAACCGACCCTAACTGTAGTGTTTGGACCTATTATGGAATACAAGTTTAAAAACTGTGGATACCCGATCCGAAATCTATTTTTTATTCAATTTCTAATTAATTTAAAATCTTTTATAGTGTAAAAATAAATATTTTATATTTAGAATAGAGAAAATAACTTTAAAAATACTAATTGATTGTTTTTATTGTCTTAAAATTTTAATTCATTTAGAAATATTTATAAAAATAACTATGGAACTTTATCAATTAATGTCGAAAAATCATAACAAAGCCATTTTTTTCAAAATAAAGTCTAAAAAGTCTAAACATAAAATCAATATAGAAAAATCAAGAACCAAACCAAATTATCATGGACAGTTCGAAAAAATTCAAAAAATCAACCAAACTGAACCGACCCCACCCTTAGTTTTTAGGGTGGTTACTTGCTTCTTTATGTAGCATGCTGTGGGAATTGGGATATAGACAAAGGAGCTTGTAGTTGAATGGCTGCCCTATGTGTTCCTATATCAGTTTATATTATCATGCTCTGCTTGTATGTTTTAAAGAAAATAGTAGACAATATAGTGATTCACATGGACTTATCGCTGAATATGATTATGAATATTGCAATTTTCTATGACATTAATTTACAGCACTATAGAAGACCTAAAACTGAAATTATATATCTCTTGTCTGCTAAAAGTTGCTACGTTTATATGCTTTTCTAATTTGTTTCTTCCTTGTGAGTTAAAGGTGGATGAATGGTCAGCACTTAAGAGCACTTCCCTCTGAGGAGTTGTCCAAGCTTATCGGTGAGCGCTGGAATAGTACTGGTCTTCTCACAGAATCAGAAGGGCCATTTATAGATGTAAGTTTTTTTTCTTTGACGTATTTTGAAAGTATTCTATATTTTCACAAGATTGTGCTAAATAGTGGTACATAAATATGTCCAAACAGGAGGCGGTTCAGCTGCTTAAGGATGGGATTGACTTGGTAACAGATTCAGATACAGCACTCTCAAACCTGCTGTCTTACCCATTGCGTGATACCTTGACAAGGTGATTATTGAATTCTTGCCCTTATGTTTTGGTCTTTATTTATTTTCTAACTTTGGTAATATATTGCTCCGACTCTTCATTTTACTTGAAGTACCCTTCCAATATATGGAAAAACTTAAGAAATACATACCCGAGTTAGACACATGCCTGTGTACAATAATCACACTTAAGTCTGAGTGACAGAGATAATATCCTCAGATTTCTTGTTACTATAACCTACAAGACATCTAGAGCTCGGGTTATGTCAACAAATCCTAGATCCTATCATTATGTCGTTTATGTTTGTGTTCTCTGCAGTTCTGAAGGTAAACCTGCTGTTGAAGATAAACTTTCTGAGATTTCTGCCTCCCTCTTAGCTGCCTATGATAGTGGTGAACTCTTTGGTGCATTGGAAGAAGGCCATGCTGGCTGGCAGAAGTGGGTGAAGGGCTTTGGAAAAACTCTGAAGCGCAAGGTGAGCTTCTAATCTTATTCATTGCCTTTTACAGGGTCCTGATTTTTCCTTTCCTCGGCCTAGCTGAGAAGCTCAAGCTCAATTCGAAATAAAGATCGAACTGGTCAAGCTCAGTCGATTACCTGGTAAAAAATGAGCTTGCTTCCCACAGCCCAACGAAAACTAATAAGCTTTATTAGACTCATATACAAGTTACTAAAGTATCAGGATACTTGAATCTGGTGCACTCGAGCTGCTCTTGACAATGACTAGTGGGATTTGCGTTTTTTTTCAAGCTGAACTCAAATAGTTTGTGATTACAGATGACTCATTTACCTTCGTACTTGAACTGATAATCCATGCATGGTACAAACCATACATGTCTGATGCTATAACTCTTATGGCAGGGGAAGTCGCTGTTCATGCCCCTGAGGGTGTTACTAACAGGAAAACTCCATGGCCCTGACATGGGTTCTAGTGTAATCCTGATCTATAAAGCCGGAAACCATGGCATTGTTGCTCCTCAAGCTGGGTTTGTGACCTTGAAAGAAAGGTTCGAAATGTTGAGACAACTTGACTGGGAAGCACTTAAGCAGGATCACCCTGCTTTGGAGTCTGCGGCTTCAGTATCGAATTAAAAAAAATGGAAGATATTTTGCAGTATAATAATTGCTTATCTTTTTGCCTTGTCTAAGGCTCTAAGCCATTGATGGGATGTAGTTTAGTGTCATAATGGTTTGATGTTTATGAATGAGATGAATATTTAGTGTTTAAACTTTGATACCTTTGAATCATGGGGTGAGGCTTTTGTTACAATATATTGAAAATTTTCAGTGCTGCTCGGATTTAACCTTCCTTTGGGAATATTATGGTATTTTTCTATGGAGTAATCTGGGAGTGTAGTCGAGTTGACTAGTGAAAGTTCTATTAATCCTTGTATTGAGAGGTTAATTCAGGTAAACATTGTGAAACTTCTTTTTTTTGTTGGGAAAAGTAGAGATGTCTGGAGAGTATTCAGGGAAATAGGATAAGATTTATAATGTTTGTCAATATCGTCTCTAGATGAAATGATTTTGGTCGGAATCTTGCGCGGTGACTGATGATTTTGGTCGGAATTTTGTTATTATTTTTTAATATGATCATTTTAAATTATTATAATCTAATTATTTTATTTTTATATCATATGGGTTACAATTAAAATTTTCAAATTTAAAGAACACAATAATTAAAGTATATGGACTAAATTTGCAATTTGCATATAATACAAAAATTAATAAAAAGAATTCGTTTTCAAAATTCAATCTTTAATTTGAATCAATTATGCTCGTTTACAAGTATATATATATAGTCGAGCTCGAATACAAATCAACACTGTGTGAACACTGTATTTGTTACCAAACACAGAGATAGTGATAGGGCAATGCATGTGAGACTTCCAAACTTGGGAACAGAACCAGTGCAATGTATATGAATGACACAGACATGTTTGGTTAAAACATCAATAATGAAAGAAACACGACGTTCGTATGGCATGTTTGACCCACGTCTCCAATTTGATAGGATATTGTAATTTGTGGTGTAAAATAAAAGCAAGAATCGTATAGAATCACAATTTGACATATCTAACATAGGCATATAGACTTTTCACACTCCCTCCTTTTATCTTTTTTCTACTCTTAGAATTCGATCATTCTTCTTACCAAACAAGTTATTAATTGCCTAAAGGGTTCTGAGAAGCTACTATTTGTAACTAATATTATATGTAGATAAAATAACTTCAGTGACCAAAAATGCCTTATAATATACGATTTTAACAAATTTTTTTTGGATTTATCAAAATGACCAACTAAATCGTAATGCGATCGATAATTCGCAACGCGATTTCCGGTATCGCAAATTAGTTTCCAGATTCGCACGCGATTCTGACTATCGCATTGCGATTTTCCAAATTCGGGTTGCGATTTTCCGACTATCGCAATGCGAATATGTAAATCGCAATGCGATTATGACTATCGCAACACTGAATTTCAAATTCGCAACAGATTTTAGTTTCGCAACACAAATGTTTTGGGTATATAACTACGCAGCAGAAGCAACTCATAACCTAAATCCCTAAATCGCAACTCATTACATCTCCATCTATCACTCTCTCCAGCGACATCCGTTCCTATATCCAACGACATCCTTCCCCATCCGGCAACAGGTTTTAGTTCCGCAGCTCGTTTGTTTAGTAAATTAATTTACAATAATAAAATCATCTAATGTTGATCATGTTTGGATATATTTGTGTTTTGGAGGGTCATGGGAGAATGTTTATGGTGTTTTACAATATATGCATTTACCCATGAATCTTCAACTAAAATTGTCATTAAAAAATTTAACTTATGAAACTCTAAAGTTACGTGTTGCAAATAAATTGAATTTAGAGCCTTAAGTGGATTTAAGTTATATCAGAGAAAAGGTAAAGTTCAATGGGATAATACCCCTAGAGGCCCTTCTAGTACCACACCTAATCTAATGAAAACTTCAATACGTAAGTTGTGGGTGCACGTAAGACGCGTCATACTTTTAATGAGATAATTGAAGTTCAAATTTTAAAAATAATACAGTCGTGAAAGATAGTTTCAAACCTTAAACATAAATCTTACAATCGAGAAAAATAAAGGGAAGATCAGACTCGTGATCCTATTTTAAAATTAAAATAAAATACCAACAAAAGAAAGTTTAACATTCACACCTCAATGGTATTACAACTCTTTCTGCATAATTGTCCATGCTAAATATTAATATTATTTGTCTGAATTAAAGAGAGAGCAATCCCAATACCACATGACAATCTTTTTTTTTCTCATAAGAATGATTAAAACAAATTTGAGAAAGTTATCAACTTTAAAATATGTTTTGTTTTAATTGAATTTGTATAATATTTTATTTTAATTTAGATATTATATAATTCAAAAAATAATTACATCACATCAAAATATATCATTTTCTTAAATCATGTCACCCAATTCTTAAGAGTTTGAATTCTATTAGATAACCATTAACTTTTTCATCACCCAATTTTTAAATTAAAAAAATGTTATTATCATTTCGTACCATTTACCCAATTTCATTTCTTTGCCCTCACGGTTCACGGTTCACACACCCTTTATGTTAAGGACATTAACTCCCACTAGGAAACAATTTACTTAAGGGAAGATTTGATGTCACCCTAGCTATTAGAGGTCTTGTTTGGAATATGAAATAATATTTACAAATTACCATATGTAAGTGAGATACGTGGACTTGACCCCCTGCATTCTTGTTTATCTTTTATGGTATTGGAATTTGGTCATTTTCTTACCAAACAAACTACCAACTCAGTAAAGAGTAATTACACTTGTCTAATGCAAACTTCACCGTGCAAGGTGAATACGAGCTATTGAAAATTATAAGGGGAATTTTTTAAAAATGGAAATGTTTGATTCAATTTATTAATGTAGTTATAGTGAAATTATTTATTTCAATGATAAAGTTGATGAAAACATGTTATTTAGCGTAAATAAACTTTTAATACTTTATAATGAAGTTAAGGATATGTTTTATTATTATACATATACGTTTTGAATTCTGGTTAAAGTGTTAACAAAATATTTTAACTACCAATAATTAATTAATTTAACGAGATAAGATGTTAGATTTTATATGTTTTATTACTTTACAATTGTTTAGAATTTTATTATAAATTTATGTATTATAATTTTTCTTATTATTTTATGATGATTCAATCGTAATTATTTTATAATATATAAAAATTAATATTATAAGTAATATTATCTGGAGGCGTATTAAAAATAATAAAATTTATTAGATTAACAAAAAAAAAGAGAATATTAAATATTTAACTAAAAAAATGTTATTGTTTCAAACAACCAAAATAAACCATGCACTTACAAAAAGACAGCCTTAAAACTCTTTTGAGTCATCTCTTTGTTCAGTCTACAGCTGTAACACGTGCCAACACTCTGTCTCTTCAATCACGAGCCATTTCTACCCTCATCACTTGCTCCCACTCCATTTCGCTTCACCGCTTGACACGTGTATCCCCGAACAAACGCTATAAAAAAGGTTTCCTTCCCCTAACTTGGTTCTTCCTCAGAACGTACCGGAACTGTCTCCCACCCTCTCGTTTTCATTTCCCTATTTTATGCTCTCATACCCCGCCGCGCGATCCTCCGTCGGCTTCCTTAACCACCGCCATCCCCGCCTAATATGGAGAGCCACCACCGGAGATCTAATGCCAGTTCCGTTCGATCTCACAAGCCGACGAGACCAATTGCTTTGGAAGACGATTCCACCAAAGCTTCGGACGCATTGCCGCTCCCTTTGTATCTGACGAATGCGGTGTTCTTCACACTATTCTTCTCGGCTGTTTATTTTCTTCTCTGCCGTTGGCGGGAAAAGATCCGGAGTTCGACGCCTCTCCACGTCGTCACATTTTCTGAGATCGGCGCGATTCTGGCCTCCGTCGCGTCCTTTATTTATCTCTTGGGATTCTTCGGGATTGACTTTGTTCAGTCTTTGGTTCTCCGGCCATCGGCTGACGTTTGGGCTTCCGAGGAGGATGAAGTGGGAAATGAGGTTTTGATTCGGAATGAGGATACCCGTAAAGTCCCTTGCGGCCAAGCACTTGATCGCTCGCTTCGGTCTTTGCCTCCTTCGGTACCGATTGTAACCGCCGAAAAAGTGTACGATGAAATGCCTGTGACAGTAATGACTGAGGAAGACGAAGAAATAATTAGATCCGTTGTGACTGGAATAACACCTTCGTATTCTTTGGAATCTAAGTTAGGTTATTGCAAGAGAGCGGCTGCGATCAGGCGTGAGGCTTTGCAGAGATTGACGGGAAAATCATTGTTCGGATTACCCTTGGATGGATTTGATTACGAGTCGATATTGGGTCAGTGTTGTGAGATGCCGGTTGGGTACGTGCAGATTCCGGTGGGCATTGCTGGGCCTTTGTTGCTTAATGGAAGAGAGTATTCGGTTCCTATGGCAACCACGGAAGGGTGCTTGGTGGCTAGCACTAATAGGGGCTGTAAAGCTATTCACTTGTCTGGTGGAGCTACGAGTGTTCTTTTGAGAGATGGGATGACTAGAGCTCCTGTTGTGAGGTTCGGTACCGCAAAAAGAGCAGCTGATCTGAAGTTGTATTTGGAGGATCCTGAAAATTTCGAGACATTGGCTGTTGTTTTCAACAGGTTTATTCTAAATTGCTTTCAGATTCTGGATTTAATGATTTGAATTCAAGTTAATATTAGTGCTTGTTTGTTTAAGAGTTTGGGGTATTTTCGAGTGGTTACAGATCAAGCAGATTTGCTAGGCTTCAAGGCATAAAATGTGCAATTGTCGGGAAGAATCTGTATTTAAGATTCTCATGCTTTACCGGTGATGCTATGGGAATGAACATGGTTTCCAAGGGAGTTCAAAACGTTTTAGATTTCCTTCAATCCGATTTCCCTGACATGGATGTCATCGGCATCTCTGGTGTGTCTCATTTGCATGGATTTATATTTACTTTCTTCTTCATTTTCATTGTTGAGACAAGGTCGTTGAATTTATGGATTTATGATTGATATAGGAAACTTCTGTTCCGACAAAAAGCCTGCCGCTGTAAATTGGATTGAAGGGCGAGGCAAGTCGGTCGTCTGCGAGGCCATTATTAAGGATGATGTAGTAAGGAAGGTCTTGAAGACGAGTGTGGAATCTCTTGTGGAGCTTAACATGCTTAAGAACCTTACTGGTTCTGCCATGGCTGGAGCTCTGGGTGGATTTAATGCTCATGCTAGTAACATTGTCTCTGCTGTCTTTATTGCTACTGGCCAAGATCCGGCTCAAAATGTCGAGAGCTCTCATTGCATCACCATGATGGAAGCTGTTAATGATGGCAAGGACCTTCACGTCTCTGTCACAATGCCTTCCATTGAGGTAACAATATAATGATTTGCTATCTGGTTAAGTATTTTTCACTACCAAAATTATCTTGCTGAATCAAATTGTGTTAAATCCTGCTCCATGACTATGTGTCATAGAAACCTGGAAAAAGAAAGAACACTATGGAATCATATAAACTTGGAAAAAAAGTTAAAAGACTCTTGTATTGGATACATACTTATGCGGCACTTACCCTAAATTGAGTAGCATAAGTTAAAACATTACGGGATCGTAGAAATTTGGGAAAAAGTGAGAAGATGCTTGTATTGGATGCGGCACATGTACCCGAAACATAAGTTATAACACCATGGTTTCATAGAAACTTGGAAAAAAAGTTAGAAGATACTTGGATTGGATACTGGCACTTGCATCCGAAATTGAGTAACAGTTAGAACACTATGGGATAATAGAAACTTGGAAAAATGTGGAAGATACTCGTATATAGAATACATATATATACTGGCACGTGCACACAATAAGTTAGAACACTATGGGATCATAGAAACCTGGAAAAAAGTGGAAGATACTCGTATGTAGGATACATGTCGATGATGTATGATTTATCTTTTAGGTTGGCACTGTTGGTGGTGGAACTCAGCTTGCATCACAGTCTGCCTGTTTGAACCTTCTCGGTGTGAAGGGTGCAAGCAAAGAATCCCCCGGAGCAAATTCGAGACTGCTTGCTAGCATCGTAGCTGGTGCCGTCCTCGCTGGTGAGCTGTCGCTGATGTCGGCACTTGCTGCAGGTCAACTAGTGAACAGCCATATGAAATACAACAGGTCGAGCAAGGATGTTTCCAAGGCTGCTTCTTCCTAGAAAAGCCTGAAAAATTTGGTGTGAAGTTGAAGGTTGGAGGAGACATCATCGCCTCTTTGTAATAAGCTTTGAAGTAGAGAGTTGCGTCTATTTTGTAATTTACTTTATCTTCTTTTTCTTAACTAAGCCGATGTAATCTGAGTTATGAGATTTGTGTAAAATGATAGGATTGTTTAATTAACCTTTTCCCAATTCATCGATTCTACATCTCTTCGACTTAAACATCGAATTGTTTTAATACGTTTATTACATTTGAGTAGTTTTAAAATTAAAATAAATAGAATAATTATTTTTATCTTTAATTTTGAAAAAAATAAAATTTTAATGATCATTTATAATTTCAAGTTGATTTGTTTGTGCTCTAACTGATATTCAAGGTTACACGTAGCTTTTAATATTTATTACTTTTACGCAAACACTTAATTAGACTTCAACTATTATTTTAAGAGAAAATAACTTCAATGATAAAAAATATCTTATAATATACGAATTTAATTAATTTTTTTTAAATTTGTCAAAATGACCAACAAATTCGCAATCTAGTTTTCAATTTCGCAACGTGAATTTGTAAATCGCATTGCAATTTTCTAAATTCGTAACGCGATAGTCAAATTCTCAAAGCAATAGTCAAATTCGCAACGCGAAAGTCAAATGTTTTTATGCGAAACACAATATTAATTTCGCAACACAAATGTAAACAGTATTCTCGCAAATCATCTCTAACCTAAAACCCTAAAGCACAACTCAATCTCATCTCCATCTCTCACTCTCTACGGCGACATCCGTCCCCATCTCCGACGAAATCCGTCCTCATTTCCGACGAAATCTGTCTATCTCCATCTCTCAGATCAACCCTCACAACCATTCACGGTCAGAAATGGAAAATCAACCACCGAGGGTTAGTTTTTTTAATATATTATTTTTTATTTTGAAATTTTTGTATTATTATTATATTAACCATTTCACTGAGATTGTTAAATTCATTCGGCTGCTGCCAATACTACTAAACTGTTTAGTCTTTAACCCTGTGAAGTTAGTATTTGTCTTTGTTTTGTCTTTTTGTTGAAGAAACCCTAAATCGCAACACCAAATTCGCAATGCGAAACTAAAATCGCGTTGCGATTTTCATTTTCGCGTTGCGAATTTAAGTTTCAGAAACTTCTTTTATTCGCCAAATTGAAACTTGAATGAATTGTATTACTTCAACCAAAAAACAAAGACAAATACTAACTTCACAGTGTTGCTAATTTAAGTTTCAAGAATAAACTACTACTCTTTATGTTGTCATTGAACCTACACTAAACCTATATGTTGTCCTTTTAAATGTTTATATAAGTGCTTACTTCTTGAATGTTATCTGATGCATTTTGTGAACTATGATGGAATAATGACTTGGGTAAATACCGTGCTAGTTTGAAACATATTTGGCTTTGTTTTTACTGTTTAATATCATGTATGTTTGTAGTGTATAGTTTGTAGTTTTTGGTATATCTAACTTGGTATGTTTATTGTTTTTGTAGAAATTTTTTTCGGCTTAATTGACCTTAAGGAATAAATTAAGCATAGCCACTAAAATTGCGTCGACGCTTACACCTCTACAAAGAAAATTGTTTGAGGATACTTGCTTCGGGCCATGGCTGAAAGTACAACATCCGGGTGGAGATGCTATGTTGACACATTTGTTTCTTTAGACCATGACTAACGATCTACCCGAGGGGGTACAACGTGGTGATGAAGAGATATGGTTTCATTTTCCTCCGGCACCGGCGTATACTTGTTTTGGGCGGGAGGAGTTTTGCTTAATCACGGTCTACGCTTCAGACACGATGATGTAGGTTGGTACACTAGTCATATCGCCCGCCCATCATGGTTATATCGGGTTTTTCTTGAGCTGGCAAAGTTGAAGCCGAGTATACATGTCAACAACTTGAAGAGATTATTTGATAAAGATGGTTTTACTCGGATGGATTACCTTGATGTTGTCCGAGTATGCCATTTACTACTTTTGCATGCCGACTTTTTAGGTAAAGAGGGCAGATAACCAATCTCCGAGGACCTAATATTATTGGTAGAGGACCTAAATGCATGGAACTTGTTTCCGTGGGGTTCATATATATGGAAAGCTACCTGGAAGAAGTTGTCGTCTGCCTTCGAGGACCGAAAAAGTTTGTGGGGCGATGGTTCTAAATACACTTTGGCAGGCTTTACTTGGGCTTTTAAGGTAAAAATTTATATATAATGTTTCCAAAATTATAATTAATTATTTAACAATTACTAATGTTTGTGTATTATATTGTTTGTAGATTTGGATATTTGAGGCTTTCCCCAGCATGCGGACATATGCGATAAAAAGATCAAATGATATTACTACGGCTATTACTTGGAAGAGGAAACGCATGCTGGATTGGGAAGACTTACTCCCATATACGACGATTAATGATGTAAGTTAACACACAAATACTACCATATATAAACAAGTTATTACTAGTACACGTTTAACTTTGTTTGAGCTTTTATATTGTTAGGAGACCAACTACCCTTTACAGAGGCTGACACCCTCAGATGCTGAGCTTGCCACTGATTGGTGGCAAGCTAGTAAGCGGTTTTTTGATGGGACGGATGATGAGCACCCCCCACTTCGAGAGCCATCACCCCATCGGGCCGATTCTATAGCTCGACACCCGGAGCCATCACCTGGTCGAGCCTATTCTCTACCTCCACCATCACCTATTCCATCACATCATCGAGCCTCTTCTCCACCATCACCTCATCATAGGCGACCGACAAAGAGGCTCCGTCTATCTCCATCTCCCTGTTCTCCACCTCCACGGGATGAGTTATGGGAATTACGTGATGAGGTCGGTGTTTTGTGTCATGAGGTCGGTACTTTACTTGAAGATAATGGTGCATGGCGTGATGAGGTTCGATCTTTACGTGGTGAGGTGGATTTTTTACGCGATGACAATGGTGCGCTACGCGATGAGGTATCTACCTTAAGTGATGAGGTTGCCGCTCTACGCGAGATTGGTTCATTGTTGCAGAATGAGGTTAATACTCTACGCAGTGAGGTAAATTTGTTTAATACTATACTAAAAATGCAAATAAATTTTTTTTGGCATTATTTATTTATTTATTTACTGATTTATATATTAATTTATTTTCAGCTGCCCGTTAAGGTAGATGCTTTACGTCGGGTTTTTTTGTACGACAGGGTTCACGCATCAGACGTTGTGCACGGGCCATTACGTCTCCGTTCACCCCACTAGTGCCAAGACTCCGTAAGAATAATCCTGATGTATCTATCATCATTCAAGAGGTGCCTCCTATCATTCAAGAGGCCCCTATCATCATCGAAGAAGCCCCTCCCACCGTTCAAGAGACCACTGTCATCGTTCAAGTGGTCCCGCCCGTCGTTCAAGAGCCCGATTCATTTGGTGTCATATGTCAACATATTGATAAACCACATCCCGTTCCCGATATAATGGATGCGTGTTAGCTTTCGCATGAGTTACCGGCCAGTACCATTCCTCAGCAGGAGATAGAAACATTACCGGATACAATTACGGATAATACCCTTTGGGCTAAGACCGCAGTTGATTTTTATCTACATGAGCGGAGCAAGGGGTGTTATTCTGACCTGTGCCAAATCGACGATGTTATTCATTTGTTTCTTGATCGGTCTTGGTGGGGTATTTTATTAGGCGTTGAAGATAATGAAGAAAAGAGGTATTCGATGGACTATTATGTCGACGTCTTTTCACGCAGCTCACTTGAAGGATCAGAGAGATGCTTCATATAAGTTGGCTAATGGAAAAGTTAAACTTTATCCTGCGTGGTGGAAGGTCGATAAGGTTAGTATTTTTTTTTGAATATTTTAAAGGTTTTCATAAATTTTATTTGATGTGCACAATTATTTATGATTGCAGGTGTTTATCCCTGTTTTAGAAAAGCGTCATTGGCTTCTCGTTGAGCTTCATCTCCCATCCTGAAGACAGTGGTATATGACAACATGTTGAATTACATACCATTGTCTGATTTGAGAGATATTATTACAAAGAGATGAAGCGATCATTTGACTAAATTCTTGAATGCGATTGATTATTGGACAAAATCTGGAAACAAGAAGCCAAAGAAGTTCAAAATTACAATGATCAGAGACGAGACTGCGCCACAACAAACACAGGGAGCCATAGAGGATTGTGGTCCTCTCGTATGCTTGTGCTTGGAACGTTTGACGACAGGAAGTATACAATATCTACCTCCCACAGATAGAGATAGAGCTGCAGTAGGCTTGTGGTTTTGGCATTATATGGCCAGATCGATATATTTGATACGCTGCCTACCTGCATCCGCGTGCTGCAAGTTGTACATAAACAATTGGTAAGTTTGAGCAAGTGTTGTTAACATATATACTCTTTAATTGGTTTGAAAATATTTGGTTAAGTACCTAGAATTCAGTAATTTGCTATTTGTTGGTTTTAGATGTGTAGAAAGTGTTGTTTGAGCAAATGTTTTGGTTTCTGCATGTTAATCCTGAAGTGAGCTGCGTGAAATGTATTTGTGCATAAACAACAGTCTAGGGTACACTTTTTTTCTTTGTTTAATTGAATTTTACATCGAAAGTTGATTTGTTACAATTGATGAGGAAATAAGATTTATTTTTTGATTAATTGATTTGTAAAAGTTGATTTGTTTAATTTGATTTGTAAATAAGAATTATTTTTTTGCTTGTTTAATTGATTTGTAAAAGTTGATTTGTTGTTTCAAAAAAATTCAATCTGCATTATGTTTGAAGGCAAAAAATACATGTTGAAGGTACAAATTCGCAACGTGAAAGTCAAATTCGCAACACGAAATAAGCGTTGCGATAGTCAAATTCGCAACGCGATTTTCGGTTTGCGAATTTGACTTTCGCGTTGATCGCAACATACAACATCAAGGTATATACAACATCAAACACATTCCAAGCTATAAATACAAGCTAAGGACACTTGAATAAGCAAGAGAACAACTATCCAAGCAATCAAACACGAGAAAATTCCAACATGATAACAACTGAACAGATCATATCAATGTTCAAACTCAAGTTACTAATGAATGTCTAACTGAAAATGTATGCATTCACACATAAAATACACATAATACAACGTTTGCATTTAAAAATCACCTAAGTTAATAAGTCCCAAAAGGTGAAGCCGG